TAAAAACAGGGATGGCAGAGATAAGCAGTGGCAGACACAGCATTTTTAGAGAGTTTGCTCCCAGGCAGCTACTGATACAAACACAATGAATATTAGGAGTGATTCAGCTTACTTCTAAAGGCCAAACCCCTCCACAGGTCCTCTCCTGCAGGGAAAGGAAAAAGTGCCCAGACCCAGACAGAGTCCACCTTGAATCAAGTGTTGCACCACTGCCATAATTCATCTTTCTTCCCTTATCATGTATTCGTCCTTTTTCCTCCATCTCAAAGTTTATTTCTCTTAATTTTTACTCTTTCTTCCTCTGAAAAATCTGCATTGTGTACTTTTGAAAATAGTCTGTAATCATCTCAGACTTCCAAATTTCTTGCATTCCACCTCCAAACAAAAAAACAAACCAAAACAAACTACCACCATCTCTGAAAGACACGTTACAGATAGCATCCTTCCTGTTCTTCTTCTGAAGATTTTTGTAAAGTTTAGATGTGAACTGAGAATGCTTGCAGATGTAGGTCAGAGGCATGGCTACAGGAACCATTCAGCTCATCTGAGAAGCTGTATTACAGAGAGCCTGCTACCTTCTCTGTCCATGTTCAGCATAATCTAACTCAAGAGCCTGCAGCTTTTTATCAGAACACACCTTCTTTTAGCTTTACTATTCAAAGAGTACAGGAAGTGCTGTGGAGTAGCTGGTGTTGAGAGAATACTAGTTAGTAAAAATGAGAGTTGTAGCATCACACCCTTTCTCTTCCTGCCTTCACTGGTCTATGTGAAAAAGTATATATTATATTGGGTCTCAATAGGAAAAAACAACCCTATCCACCCTCCCCCCCAAAAAACAATAAAACCCCCCAAACAGCATAGGCAGCCTGCTTGAAAACACTATACCGAAGCAACCCTCTACTACAGTCCAATAGATGTAACAAGTTGTAGGGGCTGTCATCATTAACTGCAGCAGCAATACAGTGAGTTCCATTTTTAGTCATATACAACTTACCATCATATAGGTTGGAAATTTAAATTCACTCTCTGCATGCTCTAAAAAACTGTATGAATTCAGATGTTGATCCTGGAAAGTTAATATTCAGAAATCAGACCTTGCTAGGGAGTAATTTACATTAAGATATTTGAGCGAAAGACTGATTTTAATTGATGAAATGATCATCTTCTATCTGTTTAGCTTAGTATATATTAAACATATGTATAAGGCTAACATCTTTGTAGAGAGTTAAGTGTACTTATGATGTAAAGGACCATTAGACACTACACTATTTACAGAATGGAGTTAGTTGTGATTTAAAGAAAAATATGCCTCTCTGGATGCTTGCTGGCAAAGGGGTCTTTTTTTGCAGTCATTCTAAAGTAGTATGGAATGGTTTTCCTCTCTGAGTTTCCTTAAGTATGTGTGTTAAAGTCCACTGGTGGGTTGCCAAATACTGCTTGTGTTTTTACTACAAGAGAAAAAAAAAAAAAAATAGAAAACTTGACAGTTGACTGTTACCCCCTCCCTTTTTATTTTTTAGAAATGTGGTAACAGGGGCAACAAGGAAGGGATCAGTGTGTTTATTTTAAGCTTATGACATCCAATCCCTGCCTGCTCAAGCAGGGCCATCTGAAGCCAGTTGCCCAGGACCATGTCCAGACAGCTTTTGAGTGTTTGCAAGGATGGAGACTCCACAGCCTCTCTTTGCAACCTGTGTCAGTGCTTGGTCACCTTCACAGTGAAAAACAGTTTCCTTATATTCAGACAGAGCTTCCTGCTTTTCAGTGCGTGCCCACTGTCTCAGGTCCTGTAAAAGTGCACCACTGAAAAGAGCCTGGCTCCATCCTGTTTGCACACTCCTTCAGGTACATTATTAAAGGAACATTATTAAGAATCCTCCAAGCCTTCGCTTCTCCAGGCTGAACAGTCCCAGCTCTCTCAGCCTTTCCTCATGAGAGTCACGCTCCAGTTCCAACCTACTTTGTGGCCCTCTGTTGGACTCTTGAGTATGTCCAAGCCTCAGCTAAACTGGAGAGCCCAGAATTGAACATAGTTTCTTTCTTTCCTTCACAAATATTCTCTATCAATCTTTAGCAATTTCCAGAACTGTCACTTTAAAAGACTAGAAAAGATTAAACACAGGAGAAGATCAAATGTTTTTCTTGACTTGCACTACAGCATTTGATGTCAAAGCACAAATGAAGGTCCTTGGATGGGTAACGGTGTCAAAAACTATCAGAGTATGGAAGTTACCTTTCCCGTTCTATTCTATGAAGGACCTAATGAAGTCTTTATATACTATCAATACCTGTTCGCAAGTTTTAATTGAGTTTTATTTAGTCCATCACAAGAACATTTGCTTCCTACATGTCCTGAAATCACTGTAAGTATCAAAACCTTTCTGTGAGTCACTACCTTGTCTAATAAATTATAGCTACAGTCTCAGGGTGGGGTGAATAATAAGAGAGTCTAATAGGAGACAAATACACAGGGCTCTCAAACAAACAAATTCCCTCCCAAATCTAAACATCCTCCTTGCACAAAACAGACTTTCCATATATCTAGCTTAATCCTTAATAATACACCAACAAGAACTGGGGCATACCGTTCCAGCTACCTGACAGCCTTTTCATAATGCACCTGAAGGCCCATTATCTGAGAAATTAAACGTTTTAAAAATAAATTCATGGGATATATGCCTGTACTGCCATACTATGAGTTCTAAGGGTAGATATGAGAGACTTACGCATGAGCTGATTCAGATACATATAAATTCACCACTACTACTCTATAGTTTTCAACATTTCTAATGTAAGTGAAAGATACTTTGACACTGCTGCAGAGAAATATCTAATTTTAATTTGATCAATTATATCAACATTGAAAGTTTCACTAAAGCTTTAATGGGAACTGATTTTCTTCATTTGGTAAAAAGGATGATATAAAAAACCTACAAGTTTGAACCAAAGCAGGCCTAGAAGTTAAAAGGACTTACAAATAGAGGCAGAAATCTAAGCAGAGTTATTTCAGCTGCCTTGGCCCCAGATTAACACAATTTAATTATGCTCTGTACTTAAGAAACATATTCAATTATTTAAAAACTGCAAATATATATATACATAATATTGGGGAGTGTGTGTGTTTAAAAATATATCTATTTATAAAAATTGCCACTTATACCCAAACACCCCACCTCTTTCAGCCTCCCACAATACAACCCAGATTGGTAGGCGAGAACAATGATGTAAATATAAGATCCTTTCAAAACCTTCATAAACAGTAGCTTTAAATGTATTCCACTTTCCAGTTCACCAACTCTACCAATTACTTAACAATATGGAGAACCCTATAAGCATCATGGTAATTAAAGTGTAAATGCATGAACTAATAAACTATTAAGAATTTTTAAAATAAGAAATAATAATGCTGCTTTCTAAAGAATGTGTTTGCACCAGCAGTCATAAACTTCTGACAATTTTAGTTTTAACTAGCCTATTCATGTCGTAATCTCTCATGCACAGCACTGTGTTTTCTCCACATACATCACTACAGATACAAGTGGTAAGCTGCTATATTCAAATAAAGGGTTCATGAAGAATTTACCTTTTTAACTCCAAAAAAATATTCTTACTAGCAACTAGTGCTAGAGTACTAGCAACCACAATAAGTGTTCCAATACTGACATGATCATCTATTTCTATAATAAATTCCAGAAGAAATAAAATATAAGTGTCAAATCCCTCCAATACTCTTGATTACATGCCCTACTGGTCTATTTAATTTCTATCAAAAAAATGAAAAAAGTCTTTTTAACAAGTTCATTTATACATCTTATAGGTGTGAAGTTATCCCTCTAACTCCAGAGCACATAACCAAATTTTATGACATGATGCAGTATGAACAAACTTACAAAAAATAATTCAGAGGTGTGAATTGTTACTCCCCTTAATAGTTTATTTGCTACTCTAGTTCATGTCCCACTTTCAGCTGTTTTCGTACTAAAGAGTTTATTAGATAAAGTAGCAATGACCGACATCCAGGAAGTGAGAAACTGCTGATGAGTAGAAACTGAAGCATAAAGAGGAAGAAAGTTTCTAGAAGAAAGCACTGAAAAAAACAGATCTTCATAAAGAACAGAAACAGTAATAGCATTAAATACAGTAAAAACTTTGTAAGCAACTGTTGCTGAACTGCATATTAATAACAGCTCTATAGAAACTAGACAAGAAATGGCTAACTTCTAAATATTTCAGAATCAGACTTTACTACAAACTGGCCATACTTCATCTTTGACCTTGGTGAATATTTCCCTCTCGCTGACAGATGAAAGACGATATCAGAAATATACTTAAGGATTGAAAGTAACATACAGTGCTGTGGTTTTCAGTATGGACTACATCGTAAGCAGAATTCATCGCTCTGCCAAAACACGTGGGCTGTTCTGACTAAATCTGCATTAATTCTCTGGCAAACTAATGGTTTGTTACTTACAGGTTGCACAAAACCAGATTAATAGAAAGTGGGAGGGAGTCACTGTGACCTTGAGCAGGGCAGTACCTTTAGAAAACCTTGTCACCTGTAGCAGGCAGTCATAGGAAAGACCTTTGGAGGTCTGTATACGGTTCACTGCCAGCTGACACCAGAGTAACAATTCGGATTAAAAATATCCCTCTGGCAGAATATTATGCCCTCTCCTCTCTACAGGGCACGTTACCTGGCTCTGTCTTATCTTACCTTACACCCTGGGCCTAGCTAGAAACCTTGCAGCCTCTGGGCACACCGAGGCAGGCGACAGAGCGCCAGTGGGACCCCAGACACCGAGAGCCCCAGAGCGGGAGTGCGAGGCGGAACACCGGTTTTTATAACCGGGTCCCGGGGGAGCGCCCGGGGTTGCCCCAGAGAGGCTGCCCCGCCGCCCCGAGCCCCGGCAGCGGCCCCCGCAGCGCGGCCCGCCGCCGCCCGGCTGGCCGGGAAGGCCGGCAGCACCCCCCGCCTCGACCCGCCCCGCGCCCCGACTGACCTGCACCGCTGCCGGGCCCAGGCCGCCGGGGCTCTTGCAGGGGTACGAGAGCGACGGGGTCTGCCTCGAGTCTCCTAGGGAAGGCCTGAGAGGATTCTCCCCTCCATCACCCGGCCGCTGCCCCCGGCCCGCGGGCACCGGCCCACCAGCGGACACCGGCCCCGCCGGGCCATAGAGCCACCTCCTGCTGCCTAGAGCGGCTGCGTCAAGAACGCCAACAACGGCAGGCGGGGGCCTAGAGTGGCTTTGCAGGAAGTAGTCTGGGAGATCGAGACGACGCGCTAGAAGGGCCCCCGGGACAGTATCCGTGCCGGGGTGAACCATGGGGCTATTTGACTGACAGGCCACAGAGCAAATCAGTGGCTCGGAGTGAGGATGGGAAGCCAATGGGGAGGCAGGAGGTGGGGCTGCTCTGGGGCTTGGGGGGGTGCTTCCCGGGCCCTGAGAGTGGAGATGCCGTTTCGCCATCTTCAGCTCGCCAAGCGCTAGTCCAGCGGCTTCTGCTCGCCCTGGCCGCCCGTGTAGCTCCCGGCTCGGGGTGGGGCGGCCACCAAGGGTGGGGCGGGGGCGGCGGGACCGAGCAACGTGGGGAGCGAGGGGCTTCTGTAGCGTTTGCTGGCAGGATTCACGGGGCTGTGAGAGGCGAAGCTGAGCCGTTTGGGGAGGAAACGCGGCAACAGCTTCCAAGTCCTGCAGGCGGGTGTTTCTCCAGCAGCTTTTACCCCAACGCTGTTAGGTGTGTGGTTGATCGGTTGCTTACGGGCATTAGCGACAGGCAGGCCCTCCCTCAAGGCTCCCAGAGTGTTTTAGGTGTTTTGAAAGTATTACACACTTAGCTGAAGAAAACTGCATTGGAAAGTTAGCTTTTACGGTTCTAGAAAGCAAATTAAAGAGAACTCTTTAAAATGTGGCTGTATGAACAGGTTGAGAGGAATCTCGGTTGTGTGGTAAACATAAAATTAAAAGCTACTCAAATAGTGATTCATTTGTTCCCAAACAGTAACTATATTTAGTTTCAGCATATTCATGAATACAGATTTACAGGTGATGTTAGGGGTTCCGGTTCTTAAGATACCTTTCAGAGGTTATCTGTACTAAGGAGACTGCAGAGGGATTCCATGGGCACATACTGATGGATTGTATGCCTTTTTTTTTTTTTTTTTTTTTCCTAACTTGTACTACAGAGTGCTACCTAATTTCTTGGCTACTTGTGGTGTCACAAAACAGGATACAACCCTTTATGAATATTACAATATTGTAAGAACTGTTTAGTTGAATATTTACATGTCATTTTTCACAATGGTAAAGCATCTTCAAAACAAATGCTGAACTTTATTAACAGTAATTCCTCTTTTAGAAGAACTGTTTGAAGTGAAAAAGGCTAGTTCACATAGCTGATTTCACAAAATGGGGATTAGATCTATTTATATGAAAACTGCATTTTAAGCAAAATGAGGTAATTTAATCTTTTGAGCTAGGACAACTCTTGTTTCATGGAAGGACATTGCAGTGGAAAGCTTATGGCCACTAATAAAGGAAAAACAATCAGCCTCAAATGTTTAGGTAGTCTACCATAAACACCAAGGTATTTGGGGCGATCCTTGCTTTGGTTTTGAAACAAAACCATGCAATCATTTATTTCTCCTGAGGAGTAATTCATTTAATTGAATCACTAAATTAATCTTCTATATATTGTCACTTACTTATTGCATATTTGAATTAGAAACAAAAGAAAACATTTCCTTGTGCAGGGCACTGTAAAAAGCTGTATCAGCATTAAAAAATCTTGTGAAGTGAGACCCTGTATGACATGGGCATACTAGAGAAAGAAAATAGAGGACTTGCAACTCAAGACTGAAGCAATGTGCTATTTCCTAGTAGGGCAGATACTGCGACTCTCTGGGAGCCACGCTGCCTAGGTGAGAGGTTGTTAGCCTCTTGCCTGCATTTTGACCTGACACTCCAGGTGCAGCTGGCCATCTGTGTCTGTCACATGAATAAAAGTTTGCAATGCTAAGTTGTCAATGCTTGAAATACTTAAAGGTCCTGTAAAAGGAAGTATGATTGGGGAGTGCTAAACAAGTCTCACAGGTGGAATAAAAGTTCTGACAGGTTCTGGAAGATGAGTTGAAGTAGTTCATGAGTAACTCTTGATGAAGCCACCTTTCTTCATTCACTCCAATTACTGAAAGAAACAGTAAATGAATACCATATCTGAAGTTTGTCCTAATTTCTGTACTCATCTGACACTTGCATTTCCTCCTGCTGTTCCTCCTGCTTTGTTCATATGGAGATCATCTGGCCCCCATGCTGCTGAGAAACCTCTGTCTCCCCCAGGATTCAGTATCGACAAAGACAGCAAATACATTGCTGATCAGATCGGTTTTACAGACTGGATAGCCTTAGCTAGAAGAGAGCATGCTCACTTAAACTATACTACAGTGGTGAAAAAGGGAGTTTTCAGATATGCAGAGTGAAATGGGTAGCAAACTAAGGTTACCTTTCTTTTTGAAAAACTTTAAACACCCCTTCCTCCCTGCAAGCAGTGCTTGAATTGTGGTTTGCTGGTGATTCAGTAATAAAAATATTATTTGTGGTGTCTTTGTGGCAGACTACACAGATTAGGAATTTAGTCACTGCATTGAATGTTTTTCCCAAAGTGGAAAGCCACAACTAAGGGACTGAAATATGAAGAAAGAATGGGGGATGGAAGAGAAATGAAAACCTAGAGCATACCTTTGTCCAAAGTTTTAATTTGTGTCTAACCTTCCCTGTCATTTCTATCCTAATTCTTTCAGGAGATGATAGAAAAATGTCCTCTCTGACTACAGAAAAGCACTCTCAAATTTCCATGCCACTACTTGAAATGTGGTTATGCTTTTAAGGCAGACATTTTCCATGGCCTTAACTGCTCACAGGTCTGTCCTAAAACCAAAGTAGCCACTGTGCATACCTAGTAAGTACTGTTCATAAACATTTTTATAATGTTTGACCTTAAGTGTGACCTGAAGATTAATGGATATGTTGTATCAGTTTTAATGGGTCTCTTCTCCCTTGGATGCACACATGTGACTCCCATTAGCCTTAATGGGAGTTATATGTGTGCCTAGAGGTTAGACAAGATCTCTAAAGGTGCTGTTATGCTCTGTTGTATTAACGATCTCATAATTGCTGAGGTGCTGCACCTTTGCATTGAAAGCAAACTAATTAAGTCAGTCTAGTATAAGTTGGTATACTAGCATACCTGGCACGTATGTGTGTTTTCCTGTACTGAGAGATCGAGGCAAAATCAAATGTGGAATTTAAATTTTAACTGTAACTTGGCTTCCTTTTTAATACTTTTTTTAAAATCCAAAATTATTTACTTAATTTGATTCCTAAGAAAGGTGATTGTTCGTGCCAATTCAGAGGAAGAAGCTGAATATGGTGTTTTATCATTAAAGCGTGTATTGAGAAAAGGGACTGAATAGATTCTTATTTTTGATGTTCCAAATAATGCACTTTGAAAAAGGCAGTTAGGTCTAGAGGATTAGCATGAAGCTTGATGTTGAATTTTAATTATGGCTTTGTTACTCACTTCTTCCAAGTGCCTTTAGACAAAGCACTTCACCTTTCTTTGATTTCCTGGTATGTAAAATACCTGCTTGCTTCTTAGTGTTGTAGACAGAAATTAATATCTGTTCTATGCTTTGAAATTTTAAGATTGGTACATCCAACTGTATTCTGCTGGCATAATTATGACAGCACAGGAGGAGGAAAAAAATCATAGTACCTACCTAATACAGCCAGCAGAAGCCGTGGTGGAGATGCAAATCTGTTGAGAGAACTGATTCTGTTCCATTGTTTATGATGTGTAAGGCAGTGCACTGATACTGAAAAGTATTTGTTATAGTTTTTGGTGGAAGAGATTGTCCAGTAAGCAAATTTACATTGTATAGCTATTAGACATTTTTATTAATCAAAATAAGGATTAGAATTTGACTGACACTGTGAAAATTTGCTGTATTCCATTACTATTTCCATATACTTGAAAATCAACCGTGATGCAGCCTTCTTTGAAGATACACATTTGGGGAAAGAATGCATCTTAACAGTTACATTCTGGAGGAAAAGAAGGGTTTATGCGATGACCTCCACATTTAAAGTCGTTTGGCTGCTTTTTTTTTTTTTTTAATTTTGGTATTATTTAAACTCAGTTTCATGATTCAGTTTTCGTATTTGTGAAGTAACAGAAGGATCTTGCATATTTTCTGTTGTTTTTTCCTAGTAATTATTTTATTTTGCCCTTATGTGTTTCTTAGCCTTTAATAGAAGGCACCAAATTTCCACTGAGACTGTGATGGTAATGTCTTTAGCTCTGTAATTTAAAATAGCTGGAAAAATCTCATGAATGATTTTGCAAATATACTTCCTTGCATTTGATTCCACCGTATAAAATCTATGATATAGTTTGATCAAAATTTTTTTCCTCGTGTGAATTTCAAACATTAGTTTCCTTGCTTCTTAGTAATTTGTGATTATTTCTTCATTACTCTTTCCTTCTAAAGAAGAAATAGTTATTCTTATCAGTGTTATATTAAGGCTATGTAGAATATTATTAAAGAAAGTTGAAAATTAAAACAAAATTTAGCTCATTTCAGTTTTTATATTTATACTTATCCATAAAAAAGAAGAACAGGTCTATTTTGTAGCCCTGGAAAACAGCATACCTTTAATTTTCAAGTTTTTAGGTGTGTTTTTGTGTACTTGAGGGTCTTTGTCTTAAACTTTGCTTTGATGGCATACTGTAAGCTCTCAGAGACAGGGATTGTCCCCTATGTATTTTTACAGTGTCAAGGATCTGCCTCTCATGGAGGAAACTTCGACTGGGAAAAAAAAATATTCTAGTTTTCCTATTATTTATAAACCAGTTTTCTAAGCAGAATAAGCAGCATCTTCAGAAGGATTTCCATTTTTTTTCTTCTTCTTTCAGTGTATCTATGCTTACATTATTTTTGACAGTATAATGGTTGACTGAGAGCGAGTGATTTATTCTGTCCCCCATATTTTAAGGGTGATTGAATACTGGAGCAGGTTGCCTAGACGAGTTGTAGAGTCTCCATCCCTGGAGATAGGTAAGACTCAACTGGACACAGCTCTTTACAACCTGCTTTGAGTGGGGGGGTTGGACAAGATGACCTCCAGAGTTCTGTTCCAACCTCAACCATTACATGATTCTGTAATTTGCATAGTTGCCTTG